GGGCCCACACATAGTAGCCTTTTTCAGGCATACGCATGCTCCTGTTTACGTACCCCCCCCGTGCTGCTAGATCTACCATGCTCGTATTCAGACACACGAACATGGAGGAGGGGAAGACGGAAGCGGGGGGGGGAGGAGGAGACACCCCTTGACCGAGTTCGGAGGGCAGTATGGGGGATGCTGTATGCCGATCGATGATGCCGGCGTCGTATCGAGGTCTGCAGAAGAACTGGCGAGATTGATGGCCATCATCGTTGAGGTGTTCGGGGAGTTCGGGCTCATGGTGTCGGGGAAGAAGACGGAGACGCTCCTGATGCGCGCGAAGGACAAGCCGACTACAACATCACAGCCCCCCCCGCCTCCACCGCTGACCATCGAAGCCGCGGGACAGAAATACGCCCAGACGACCGAGTTCCGGTACCCCGGTGGCCTCGTCAACGAACATACATGGCGACCTCACCCGGGAGATAACTACAGGAGCAGAGGAGCGTGGGCGTGCCTCAGGTGATATGGCCGGAGCTCTTCGACAGACCGAAAGCGCCATTCCGACTCAAGATCTGCCTGCTCCAGGCGGAGGCGATGGAGGCACTGCTGTACGGCTGCATGACATGGTCACCACTCAGCGGCCACTTTCAGACGCTGCAGTCGATACACCACCGACTGCTCCTTCGAGTTATCGGGTGCAAGCGCAAGAAAGACACCTAACGGTAGCTCTCTGACGCCCTGACGCTGAAGAGGGTCGGATGCCAGAGCGTTGAAGCCATGATCAGGCAACGACGCCTACTTACTGTTTGCGGGAGCATTGGCAAGGCAGCCGGACGGGCAACTCCCGAAACGACTGATGTTCGGCGAACTGGCGGGGGGGGAGAAGCGACGTACAGCTCTGAGCAATCAACCACTACCGTCGACAAGTGTACCCATGGCAGGGTATGACGACAGCACGCAAAGGTTCAGTACACGTCGTTGTGTCAGCAACAAGCTTGGTCAGACATGTGGTGACCAAACACTTGGCATTTCGTCGCAACACATGTCTGTTTGTGTGTTTGGAAACGGACTGATAGATCTGCCGACAACAACGGGAACACGCAGATAGGAGCATAGGTATACCATGACGGTTACTATGCGGTGGAACCTATGCGGTGGAACCTCTCGAGCTCTCCCAAGATTATCGGGACCTCACTCTTCCTCCGCTCCCCTTTCGCGTGCTTAATACAATGGATAAAACAAATCTCCCCCTTCTAAGTAAAGGGCATACAAACGTACGAATACACTAGTGTACAACCCTCGAGGGAGTCCACTAGGAAATGGCGGACCGCGTAGCCGGGGAAAATATCCCTGGCGGAACGTCGGAGGGAGACCAGAGCTCGGCAGAGCTCACGAGCCTCAAAGCGGATGTAGGCTCGCTCGCAGAGCAGATCAGCAAGTTGACGCTACTGGTAGGCGAGCTAACACGGAAGGAGGAGGAGTCCAGCGACGCCAGAGGGAGCGACGCTGGCCGCGGTGACGCTAGAGAGAGCGCCGCCGCGGCATCTGCAGAAGTCCAAGAAGGGGCATCACAGACTGGGAGCGCGCAGGACGACACGTACCTGCGCGAACGTTTCGGAGACTCTGGTCCGGAAGGACGACACAGCGGCGAAGCAGGGGGCTATGTCGCCCAAGAGGTGAGAGTAGCTGCTGCTCACAATCCAGGTGGTTTTAGTAGCACCATAGGAGGTGGTGCTGCTGCTGGCTTTGCCGGCGGCTTCGGTATTCGGGACTGCAGGATACCAGAGCGTGAGATTCTCCTCACCCCCGTTTGACGGGAAAGCAAAAAAAACAATCATGGCTTCAGGATTTCTGCCTGGTAGCAAACGGAGCAAACCTGTTGGACCACCGTCATGAGGGGACAGTGGAGATCCCCGTGAATACCGAACGAAGCAAGTCGTCATTGTGCCAACAATACCCAGCCGAGCAAGTTGAGCTCGCGTTTCACGCGTGGAACTTTCTAAACCACGCTCTCATCAAAGATGACGATCAAAAGACGATGAAAAGGGCAGAGACGCCCCAAGGGGCCATCCGGGAGTTAAATGGAATGTACGACCCGGATATCAGCAATGCAACCGGTTGACGATTTGGATGTGTTCATGACATTTACGGTCCCCACGAATAAGAACCCACAACTTGTTCTCCGCGACATGCTAGCAACTGGTCAACGACTTAACCAAGAAGGGCTAGGTATAAACGAAGGATTTGTTCTCCACCGCTTTGTGTCCGCCCTTTCGGATGAGTACGCTATGACGAAGCATGCCCTGCGACGCACGAACAAGCTGACCAAGGAGCAAGTGATGAAGGAGATCGCAATCGAGTACAAAGCGATCCTGGAGAAACAAAAGAAACGCAACGGCGCACGAGGCGACGAAAGGGCATACATCGCCGACGGTGGCGGCCGGAAGGGGCAGTCGTCTAGCCGTGGCCGTGGTCGTGGCGGCCGAGGTCGTGGAGGCGGCCGCAACGGTGGCCGCGGCGGTCGCAGCGGTGGCCGCGGCGGCGGCAACGGCGGGGGCGGCGGCGGCGTCGAGGAGAGCAAGGGAGATGGAAATGGAGGAGCAGGCGGCGGGGGCAGCGGCGGGGGCACGAGGTTCCCTGGCCGGTGCCACCGGTGCGGTCACGTCGGGCACCAGATTGCTGACTGCACCACCGAAGAGAAGGACTTCATTCCGCGTTGCGGGAAACGCGCAGGGTGGGGTCACAACGAGGACAAATGCACTAGGGAGGAGGCTGTCCTGGCTCAAGTCATGAGCTACGTGAGCGACGACGACTCCGCCACTGACCAGGCATTCTGTGTTGTGGCACAACCCCCAGGCAAGTGTGGTATCGTTGATCTTGGTCTAGTGGGGGTTGAGGAACTTGGCCAGGATGTCATGCAGTACGTGGCTGACACGGCAGCCACGTGCTCCATGTTCCGCTGTGCGAATGCCTTCGTGAACTACCGTGAGTGTAACGGTTGGGTGCGGGGAATTGGTGGCGACAAAGCCCCTGTCCCCCTCCTAGGATACGGAGACGTGGTCGTAGTCCTCAAGTCGGAAGGTGGTTGGGTGCCTTTACCCATTCCGAATGCAGTTCATGTACCCGAAGCCCCCTACAACCTCCTTTCTCTTACCACGTTGGCCGAGGAAGGCCACAAGTACTCGGGGCAAAAAGGGGGGCTCACGTTGACCACGAAGGCCGGGGGGGAAGTGTTTTTCCCCCGGACGGGCAAGCTGCTCACTCAGGAAGGCTATCAAACACAGCCTACGGTAGACATTGCCTGTGCCGCAGTCGTTGTTCCTGGCGATGCGAGAGCAGCCACCCCCACTGACATCAACGACTACCACAACTCCCANTCCTGGCGATGCGAAAGCAGCCACCCCCACTGACATCAACGACTACCACAACTCCCACCTGCACGCCCACGAGAAACTGCTCAGAGACACGGCGAAGCAGCAGGGAGTGCAGCTGACGGGAGGACCGCTGCTACCATGCCTCGGCTGTTCGATGTCCAAGGGACAGGTGAAACCCGTCAGCACGAGCACATCCACGCGCGCAGTTAAGAAGCTGTTTCGCATATTCCTCGACCCAGGGGGGGAATGAAGATCGCAAGCATCGGGGGCAGCCTATACACCCTCATAATTGTGTGCGATCACACGCGTTGGACGCGCGTATTCTTTCTGAAGCAAAAATCCGACGCAGCCGAGAATTTTATGCATTTCTCGGCAAACTACCGAGCAGCGGGGGTTCCGTGTGAAGTTTACGTCGCACGGACTGACGGTGGTTGCGAGTTTCAAGGGGCGTTCGCGGATGTTTGCCGCAAATACGGCATCAAGCAAGGGTGTACCCCTCCTGACACGGCCACGTACAACGGTGTAGCTGAGAGAGCGTTGGGGGTGATCACTGATGCCGCGCTCGCCGCGCGTATCCAAGCTACGGCACTCTTCCCCGATGCGCCCAATACCCCCAAGTTATGGGCTGAAGCCATCCCTTGCGCGTGCCACCAAAGAAACTGCACCGCCACCATGGGCAACCCTGGCCACAAAACCCCCTACGAGATGTTTCACGGCACACCGCCGCCGGTCGGGTCAACGTACCCGTTCCTCAAACCAGCCGTCTTCAAATCAAGAAGAGAGGCAAAGTCGCAACCCAAGGGACAGAAAGGATGGTACCTTGGACCAGCCCACAACCACTCCCGTGATTGCGTTCGCATGCTAACCGAAGCTGGAACAGTAATCGTCACCCGAAATTCACCTGGCGCCACGTGCCCGCTACTTCGCCCAGCCCCCTCAGCCAGTGCCTCTCGCAGATGATGAGGAGGGCGGGGAGGGCGGGAGCAACGAGGGCGCGTCACGTCAAGATGGAGGGGGGGAAGAAGACTCGAGGAGTGAGTCCGACCTCGACGTAGACGACGCTCGTGGGCTGGGGTCAGCAACAGCAACGACAGTAGTGGCCCCAGCGACGTCTCCAACAACCACGACTGAGGCGACAGCGAGCCACTCAGCGGCGACTCTGGTGATGAGAGCAGCACATCTAGCGAGCCCGTCAGCAGCACATCTAGCCACGACGGCAGCAACGACGACGGTGACGGCAGCGAGGCCGTCGACCCCGGCAGCGATGACGATGGCGGCAGCGAGACAGGCGACCCCGGTGAGAACGATTGTGACGGCAATGAAGGCGGCGACCCTGAGACGCTCGAGGAGTTGAAGTACGACCCCGCCGACAGCCGCTNTAGATTGCAGCGAATAGATTTATTGCTGAGGAAAAGCTGTAGCGAGAAGCCATGGGGAGCGCAGCCCACCGTGCTCACTCCACCTTGCCGACCTGTCTCTCCGGGCAAGTTCTCATTAATACACCACATATTTCTCCAAAAGTCACGAGTTTCCAACACGCTATAGCGACAAAAGTCAACTGCTCCAACGTCCCCCTGGGCGGCACGAGACTGTACGAGAGAGGCCTGATCAACCTATCTCATCATGGCTGGTGAAGAAGGGAAGTCTGCGGATGACCCACCTCAGGGTAATTCGCAGGATGTTGGTGAGAGGATGGTTTCCCTAGAGACGCAGTTGTCCCAACTTACGACTCTAGTCACGTCGCTTGTTGGCCAACAGAGGGAGTAAGTGGAGTCCTCTGTTTCGGCTGCCACGCCGGGAGGCGGCGGAACAGAGACTGGTACGCATCCTTCTGATGCTACTGGTAGGACCGCGGGAGGTACGGGCGGCGATGCCCAAGGCCTTGGCGTGTCCGGCATGCGGGTTGGGAGTAGTAGCAGTCTTGTAGACTCAGGCTTGAACCCTCATGTGACTGCTGTTAATCGTTCCTCTGCTGGTGCTGCAAGCTTTGGTTCGATTGGAATTGGAAGTGGGGCTTTAGGTAGCCAGTCTTTCGTTCCCGGGACTGTAGGTGGGGCTTTAGGTAGCCAGTCCTCTGTTCCACCCGCACCTACTCCGTCGAGTAAGTGGTGGGAAAGTGTCGCCAGTGGAAACACATTGATTCCTGGGGCCGGCATTACAGATTCAGGAGAGAAATTGGGTAGGGGTCCTTTTAAAGTCCCCAAGGCTCCTGTTTTCGATGGGACCGACGTGTCCTATCCCTCGTGGTCACAGAACTTCTGCTGAGTGCCCGGCACAACGATCTGTTTGAAGCGTTTGTTTCTGAGATTGAGATTCCAATTGCTGACATTGGTTTCGACTTGACCCCCTGGGTAGAGAAAGGATTCAGTGTGGGTGTGCTGCGTCAGGCTGAAATGGGATGGTGG